TTGGTCTTTCCATGTGTTAAATGGGCTGGGGCGGGGGGACGCTCTGCAGCACCCCCTTCCCTGGGCTGGGACGCGGCGGGGAGGGCTGGGGCGACGCTCGGAGAACAGAGAGGCCGAGCCAAGGGAGCGGGCCGGGACCTGACCCTGATTTCCCACCCTGTCCACTGTCATGGGCGCCGGATGCCTGCCGGAGAGGGCTCCCCTCCTTAAAGGGCCAATGGTCTCCAAGCCCGACGCCCGCGACCGGCGGTGGGTGACAGTGTTTCCCCTCCCTGTCCAGTCGAGGGAAAAGTTAACTCTCCAGGCTTGGCTGTGTTCAGGGAAGGAACTGGTCTCGCCTGCCTGCCCTCCATGTCTCACACCATCCCAGGTCCCCGACCCAGGAGGCGGAGGTCCAACCCCCAACTCAGAGGCACCAAGCCCGCCCTCCCCTTCCGCCCCCGGCCCCTCGGTAGGCTCCGCCCCCTCGCTGACGTTGCCGAGGCCCGCGCCGATTGGTCGACTGCGCCGTCGCTCCGGACACTTCCTCCTGGGCCGCCGCCGCCGACTTAAACTTTGGAGGGGGAAAAAGAGCTACTGGCGCCTGGCGACCCTCCCTGCCCCCCACCCCACCCCACCGCCGGCAACGCCCCCTTCCTCACGGCTCCCGACCGAACTTTTCTCCAACTTCTGCGATTCGTGAGATTCCCTTCTACCCACTCCGGCCCTCGGGACCCCTCTGCCCATCCCCGGGCCGGTCGGGTCCCTGCTAACCCCTTTATTTCTGGGATCCACTTGGTCCCCGACTCAGAGACTCCTGCCTCCACCCTCAAGGTGAATTCCCCCGGGCCGCCTTCTGAGTGGGATCCTCTTCTTGGAGCACTGGTTCCTGGGATTCCCTCTGTCCCCTTCTCAATCCGTCCTCTAGGGAAGGGGCCTTTGAATCGCGGGCTCTCCTGATCCCTGTGACCCTTACCTACTAGATTTCCTCTTGGGCTTCTTGGAATCTCTCAATCGCTGGGACCTCCAAACCACTACTTTTCTCCTTTCTGCTCTGCTGGGAGTCCTGGATTCCGGGCCTCTGACCCGCTACAGTGCCTTTCTCTCCTTCCCAGGACCCTGCCATCCTCAGGTCCCCTCCACCTGCCAGATCTTTTCTTGGATCCCCGCGCTCCCACCACCTGCTCACGAGATCCCGCAGATCTAGGACCCAGGGTCCCCCGGGGCCCCCCGGCCGGGTCCCGGGTGGGCGCCAGGCGGCCGGTCCCTGGCTTCCCCCCATGGCCGCCGCCCCCTCTTTTCCCGCCGGGCTCCCTGGCTCTCCCGGGCCGGGGTCTCCTCCGCCCCCCGGCGGCCTAGAGCTGCAGTCGCCGCCAGCGCTACTGCCCCAGGTCCCGGCCCCGGGCTCCGGGGTCTCCTTTCACATCCAGATCGGGCTGACCCGCGAGTTCGTGCTGTTGCCCGCCGCCTCTGAGCTGGCTCATGTGAAGCAGCTGGCCTGTTCCATCGTGGACCAGAAGGTGAGGGCGCGGGCTCCCTCGATGCAGCTCGGGGAGAGATTGAAGGAGGGGGCGCTGGCAGAGGGGTCTGGGGCCTGGTGTGCGGTAGAGGGGGGAAGGGGACCTGAGCATTGGGTGATGGAGGGATAGGGGACATTGCCCCCCTCCATTGCCCCTCTCCCCACCATCCCTTTGAGAGAGGACTGGGCAGGGGTGGGGTGCCCCAGAGGCCTCCCCAAATTTCATGTCCCTGCATGTTGTTGTTTTCTGCAGCAAACAGGGAGGAAGGGGGGGACCAGCCAGGTGTAGAGAGGGGAGGATGTCGGCGGACCTCCACATCCAGGCCCATCCTGGGCCTCCCATTTGGTGGAAACAGGAGAAATTGAACCCGGGCTGGCCATGGTGATCCGGTGACATGTGTGGGTGCAGGTGCTTGAGTTAGCTGCCAGGGGCAAGTGAGGTCTTAGAGCCCAATTGTGCCTTGCCCTAAGCCTGAGATATGTGTGGAGGGGCAGGCACCCCTAGAGACCCTGGGGACCCTATTCCCTTTCCTAGTCACAGTCCTCCTAGCCACTCTTAATTGTGGACACCAGGGTCCCCAGGGTGGGCAGCTGGGTGTTATGGCAAGAGGAAACCAGGTGGAACTCCACGTCTAAATCGTAAAATGTTAAAAGAACAGTGGGCTTCTGTGTTGGAGTACTGGACTGTAGAAATGTTAGAATATTAGAATCATAAATTGTTGGACTATGCATCCTAGGCAATTAAATGGCCCCCATGTTAGTGTTCAAAATATTAGAATTCTAGGCTTGTGAAATAGTAAAACATTCAAATGTTGGAATATGAGATTCCTAGATTGTTGAATCCTAGAAAGTTAAAATGTTAGAATTTTGGAATGCTGATGGATGAGGTCCTTGAATGCTAAAGAATCCAAACACCACAGTCCTAGCTTGTCAGACTCCTAGAATATTAAAATATTAGATTACCACTTATTTAGGTTATTGAAATCCTAAAATGTATAGTGATACCAGGTTGGAATCTAGAATGTATAATTCTATAATGTGAGCATGTTGGAGTCCCAAAATATCCAAATTCCAGAATCTTTTCAGACTCCTGGAAATGAATCCTTTGGGCGTCAGAGAAACGTGGGGAACTGGGCCAGCTCCCCCATTCTGCAGACAAGGAAACTTAAGCTTGGAGAAAAACTTCCCAAGGGGTCAGGGCCAAGACAGTCCTGGTCTTCTGTGGACTCTCTCTTAGCAGTGAGAACTGATAGGGTTTTGCCCACCAAATGCCCAAATCCAGCAGGTCCAGCTCCCCACCCCAACTCAGCCCACTTCATGGGAAGCTGATGCAGTGGGGGTACAGGGGCAGACTGTCCCTTGGGTGAACTTCTTTGTCCAGTGCTCAAGTCCCCAGCCTGCCCCGCTCAGGCTTCACCCCAGTTTTATTTTTCTGCCAGGTCCAGGTGTGTTAGGGCCCCGTACCTTCCTTCCCGAGGCCCCACCCGGGCAGTTTCACTTTCTGTTCTACCCGGTTTCATTTCCTGCCCCCAGGCCCCCCAAGCTGAGGACCCAGACACCTGGGTCCTTTGAGCGTCGGGTAGGAGGCGCCCCCCTTATCTCCAGCCCCCTCGAGTCCTAGAGCCCCGCCCCCCCACTTTCCCAGGAGCCCCGAAAAGTCCGCCTTCCAGCTCGCCCCACCCCAGTGCTGGGCCTCGAGCCAGGTAACTGGGACAACAATAGACAGATCCAGGAAGGAAGCTGGGGGGCGGGTGTGTGAGCCTGGGGAGGGGGCACAGGGGAGGGGGTGTTCATTCAGCATCCCCTCCCACCTCCGCCAGGTTCCGGAAAATTCGAGGTGTCCACGCTCCCGGAGCCACTCTCCCTCCCACCCCAGCTCCCCCTTCCAGCCACCAAACCCACGCCGACGCCCCCTCCCCGCACACTTGGGGCGCTGGCATCCTGCCCGGCTCGCGCTGGGGTTGGGAGGGGGCAGGCAGGAAGCGAGGGCCTGCGGGGTCTCTGCGTTTCCGGGGGAAACAGCCGGTCCTGCCCTGGGAGGGTGACAGTCCGCCCGCTGCTGAAAGCGGCTCTGAGCTTTTCCGTCGCCACATCCCTCTCCCGCCCCTCAGTTCCCTGAGTGTGGCTTCTACGGCCTTTACGACAAGATCCTGCTTTTCAAACATGACCCCACGTCGGCCAACCTCCTGCAGCTGGTGCGCTCGGCCGGAGACATCCAGGAGGGCGACCTGGTGGAGGTGGTGCTGTCGGGTGAGAGGTGGTGGCCGGCCTGGGGGCGGGGCCTTGGGCAGGGCGGGGCATCTTGGGGAGGAGAGGGTAGCGGGAGTTGGAAGTCAGGAGAGGCCGGGCGGGCGCAGTGGCTCACGTCTGTGATCCAGCACTTTGGGAGGCTGAGCTGGAGCTGGGGGGGATCGCTTGAACCCAGGAGTTCGAGATCAGCCTGGGCAACATAGTGAGACTCCATCTCTCCTCGTCTCTCTCCCTCTAAAAAAAAACGAAGGGAGAGCTGGGGGCTTTGGGAAGATGGTTACAGAGTGGGGCCACGAAGGGGCTTTTTAGGGGCTGGTCTAAACTTTCATTTATGGATTAGGATGCTAGTGACACGGTTTGTACAATTTGAAAATTCATTGAGCTGTGCACTTTCCTGAACATATGTTATACTTATTTATTTATAAGACTAGTCAATGCAGTAGTGAGAAGGGGAGAAGTAGTGAAAAGAGGAGAAGAAGGAGTTCGATCTGTAACTGACTGTGCTATACTTTAATATAAAGGTAAAAAATGGGCCAGTTGCAATGGCTAACACCTGTAATCCCAGCAGTTTGGGAGGCTGAGGTGGGAAGATCGCTGGCTGGAGCCCAGGAGTTTGAGACCAGCCTGGGCAACATAAGGAGACCCCGTCTCTTAAAAAAAAAAAAAAGAAAAAAAAGTTAGCCAAGCAAGGTTGCACACGTCTATAGTCTCAGCTACTTGGGAGGCTGAGGTGGGAGGATTTCTTGAGCCTAGGAGTTTGAGGCTGCAGTTAGCTACGATCATGCCACTGCATTCCAGCCTGGGCAACAGAGAGAGACCCTGTCTCTAAAAAAGAAAAAAAGTAGAAAAAGAAAAAAAAAAGTTATGATGTCCATGGCTCCTCCCACGAAAATGCTAAATTAAATCAGAATCTCTGCAAAGTGAGACAGGATCTGCCCA